GATCAGAAAACGAATGGAGGCCCAGAGACCTACCTTACTCAAAGTCATAGCATGAATTTGTGGCAGAGCTTATTAACACATTCAAAACTGAGTTAGCTTTTGAGGGAGCCACAGCTTGTTGCTGGTTCATATTTAGCTTACAGAGAAGCTACCCTCTCCATCTTGGACACGTATATGCTACTCCTGAATCACATCTCCAGTTAACGTACATCACATGAGAGCAAAACTTAGTGAGTGCTCTTCAAAGTCAATGATGATCATGGGCAGCACTTGAGTTTTCTTGGTGCAGCCTGCTTCATATTCAGATTGTGCTGATTTTCCTCCAAATTAAAGTGAGATGTCTGAATTACAGAAAGTTTAATAATGGGTATCTTAATACTCATCGATACATCAAGTAGTAACAAACTGGAATCAAACCAAGGGCTGACTTGCAGGACTTCAGTGTGTTTGAATGGGCAAAACTGATTTCTAATCAGCATTTTTTTCTGTATAAATACACATTCCCTCCACCCCTGCCTTCACTCACTCTTCCCTCCAGCCACCAGTCAGGAACTGCCCATCCTTTCTCATTCACACCTTCGGAGAGAGCTGGTCACCTTCCACAGGGCCTGCACCCACTATTAACCGAATGTGGCTCTAAGGACAGCATATGACAGCAATGAGCTCCCAACTGTCAAATCCAAACCATCCTTTTGGTCCTAGTGACTGGGTCCTTCTGCTGCATTTCACACTTCCTGCTTCTTGGAAGGCCTCCTGCTCCAGCCATGGCACCAAATTCTCCTATCGCCCTGTGTGCTTTCCCTCTCACGTGCAATGTGTAACCCACTGCCTGTGTCCCGCACTGCGAAGTTGGCCATCGCTCTCGTTCACTACAACCTGGCACTGTGGGGGAATGCGAGTGTAGACAATATGCCAAAGCAATACTGTGTGACAGCGCTGCACTGAACACTTTATGCAAATTAACTCACTTAATCCTCACAACTCCATGAAATAAAAATACTGCCGTCTTCCTTTTATAGTTGAGGAAATGGATCAAAACATAAGCTCTGCGAGGACAGGGATTGTGTTGTCCTTTACATCACAACTGATTCCACCGGGACTAAAGACAGGGGCTGGCCCACTGATGCAAGGTCCAAACTCGAGTCAGTTTGACTTCAAAGTTCAATCTGCAATCACTGGACATTTAAATATTGCAGAACCAGCCCATGACTGTTTTCTCTGAGTCCTTTACACACTCCTTTCCCTCTGGCACCTCTCCCATGCCAGAGACCTCCCCCAGGCTCTCTCCATCCTTAGCTTGTTCATCTTCTCCCTAAAGAAGTTCACTCTCTATTTCAGTGACTTTGGTTATATTTTGCTTGTTTCTTTGTTTTGTTGTTTAGGTTCCTGTTAAAGGTGAGATTATATGATATTTGTCTGTCACTGCCTGGCTTATTTTGCTTAGCATAATGCTTTCCAGCTCCATCCAAGTTGTTGCAAAGGGCAGGAGCTCCTTCTTTCTTTCTGCTGCATAGAATTCCATTGTGTAAATGTACCATAGTTTTTTGAGCCATTCATTTACTGATGGGCATCTAGGTTGCTTCCAGCACCTAGCTATTATAAATTGTGCTGCTATGAACAGGCTGACAGTGACCAGAGGGGAGAGAAGAGGGAATTTCAGGGGAGAATGGGTAGGGTTTACAGGAACAAATTTAAAGGACACATGGACAAAAACTAGGGAGAGGGTGGTAATGGGAGGGAAGTGGGGAGGGTTGGGTGGGTGGGCTGGAATGGGAGTAAAAGGGAGAAAACTGTACTTGAACAAAGATTAAAATAAAAAAATAAATAAATAAATAATAATAATAAAAAAAAATTTCACTCTCCTGGCTTTGCCTCCTGCCTGCTGGCAAGGCCCACATCTCTCTGGAATTGCCAACTGCTTGTCAGACGCTGGCTGTCAATCCCCTAGTCCTATATTCTGCATGTCAATAAAGTCATTTTCTCACTAAACCTAAACCTCTTCCTTCTCCTGAATTCTTTTTATCAGATGGTGGTCCCACTACTCACCCTACTACCCAACGTGAGAATTGTACAAATGAACCTTGGCCCTGCCTCTCCCCTCAACATTACAGACTAATGTTTAAGCACAGTGGCTCTGAAGAAAGCAATTCCATTCACAAAGCAAGAAAAATAAAATCTCAGAAACAATTTTAACAAAAGAAGCACAAGACATACAGTAAAACTACAAACACTGCTGAGAGAAATTAAAGATCACAGAAAGTGGAGACATTCTGTGTTTATGGATTGGATGGCTCATGTTTTTAGAATGGCAATTATTCCAAAATTGACCTACACACTCAAAATAATCCTTATCAAAATCCTAGCAGGTGTTTTTTTTTGGCAGAAACTGACAAGCTGATCTTAAAATGTCTATAGAAATGCAAAGAACCCAGAACAACCAAAACAATTTAGGGAAAAAAAAGTTGGAGGGTGTGTACTTCCTGACTTCACATCTTAAACCAAACACACACACACACACACACACACACACACACACACAAATCAATTGATTTTTGACACAGGTACCAAAGCAATTAATTAGGGAAAGTGTAGTCTTTTTAACACATGGTGCTAAGACTACTGGATATCCACATGCATTTAGACCCTTACCTCACATCATGTACAGAAATTAATTCAAAATGGCTTGTAGACTGAAATGTAAGAGCTGAAAGTATAAAACATCTAGAATAAAACAGGAGAAAATCTCTGTAACCTTGGGATAAGTGGAGAAACAATGCTACAAGCATGATTCATAAAGAAAACACTGATAAATTGGACTCCATTAAAATTAAAAACATTTGTGCCTCAAAAGACACCAATAAGAAATTGAAAATACAAGTCACAGACTGGCAGAAAATATTTGCAAATCGTATGTCTTGTAAATGACTTGTATCCAGAATACAGTTAGAACTCTTACTGTGAAATAATAGGAAAACAATCCAATTTTAAGTGAAAAAAGACTTGAATAGACATTTCTTTGGCCCATAGGCACATGAAAGGATGGTTAGAGATCATTAGTTATTAGAGAAATACAAATTAAAACCACAATGAGCTATCACTTCACACTCACTAGAATGGCTATAATAAAAAAGTACAAAATAACAAGTATTGATGAGGACATGAAGAAATCCACACCCTCATACATTACTTTCTGGTGGGAGCATAAAATGGCGCAGATACTTTGAAAAACAGTCTGAAAGTTTCTCAAAAAGTTAAACATAAACTTACCATAAAAGTCAGCTATAGCCCTCCTATATACCCATGGGAGATGAAAACATGCACACACAGACTCGTACACAAAGGGACATATCAGCATGTGAAAGTAATCCAAAGGTCAATCAGCTGATGAGTTAACAAACTGTAACACTGCCATACAATGTAATACAATTCAGCAAAAAGTACCGATAGATGCTACAACACAGGCAAACCTCAAAAACATTATGCTCAGTGTGAAAATAACATGCAAAAATAAACCACCTATGGTCTGATTCTAGTTTTATGAAAGGTCCAGAAAAGGCAAATCAGGAAGATAAAGTGGGTTGGTGGCTGCCTGAGGCTGGGGGCAGGAAGGCAGATGGAGTGCAAAGGGGCATGAGAGATCATTGTAAGGAAGAAATGTTCTACCATTGGTTTATTGCACAAGTCTGTAAATTTACTAAAAAATTATTGAAGTGTACACTTAAATGGGTGAAATGTTATGGTAGGTACATTATGCCTCTTTAAAATATTTTTTGGGGGGTGGTGATGCAGGAAAGACTCCAGATTCAGACCACTTGGATTCAAGTCCTGGCCATTACCTACCACTCTGTCACTAAGTTACTTCGACTAATCTGTGCCTTAGTTTTCTCATCTGTTAACTGGGAATTATAGTAGTACATATGTCAGAGTTATTCTGAGAATTAAGTAAGTTAATATGGGTAAAGTGCTTAAGCACGGGCCAAATGTGTAGTAAGTACTCAGTTACTCTAGATATTTATGATTATTATGATGACATTCAAACAATTATCAGGTCTTGCCCATTTTAATTAGTAATTAGTTCTCAAATTAATCACCTTCTCCTTGAAACTTCTGCCCTGGCCTCTGTACCACCATTTAGACAGAACACCTCAGTCTTTTTTACTTCCCCTCAGCTTATGCCCTCACAACTAGCCTCCACCGCTTCTAGGGACCACACAGGTAAACTAAAGCAACCATGGAGAAACCCACCTACAGGACCAAGGTCAATGGCATCTAAGGCCCTCCAAAATCTGGTCTCTCTGTGGAACCCCACTCCCACATCAAAGTGGCAAACTTTCTTCTACAGATCACACAGTTGCTCATGCCTTTCCCGTGGAGGAATGCCCCTTTCCCTCCCCATTTTCTGTCCGCTCTACAAATCCTATGAGGCTCAGCTGAGGCAACTCCCCCACAAGCTTTCTCAGCCTTCTTAGCTGTGGCCTTCTGTGCCTGCAGTAACCATCTGTGCAGGTCCCCAACGCGGAATGCAGACTCAGAGATGGTAACACTTGTCTCTGATACTGGAACACGAGTCTAGCACAGTTCCCAGGACAACTGGTCCACTGGAGATGCTTCATAAAATGCTGACTGGTCAAGAGAGTAACTAGTCTAAGAAGCATTTCCTCAGCTCCTCACATGGGGAAAATGCAGGCAGGCTTCTGAACAGCATAGGCCTTTTTCTGGCATGTCGCTTGAGGAAAATGACAGAGGTTGTCTAGGGAAATGGAAATTCTAACAAGGTTCTAGCTGTTTTGTATGACTGTTGTGAGCAGTAATGAGACAGTACAGGGTTATGACTCTTTCCATTTGAAGCCATTTATACTTTCCACAACTGTCAGTAATTCATCAAAATTTATAGAGATTGCTGGTAATATTAATCTTTCCAGTGGAATTTTCCTAACTTACCTAAAATTAGAGTCTCTAAACTCAAACTGATCTGTGAGGAATTTTTGAGACAGCTCATAGTGGGAATATAAGACAATCAACTTTAAAAGGATTTAAAAAATAGCTTTATTGACAGAATGGGGGAAGATACAACTACCTGATACCTGGAATCTACCTGGCCATTCTGATTTAAGGGGCCTAGGGTAGAAACAAAAAAAAAATTTTTTTGAAGTTCCCCATATAATTCTAAAGAGCAGCAGGGGTCAAGATTCACTACTATGAAATCTAAAATTTGTTCCTTTATCAGTGTTCTTCTCTATAAAATGGTGACACTTATCCTTAGATTTATAATTAACTGAAAATCTTTCTGAAAGTAAAAATAATAAATTCTAAATGGAATCCTTCTACCTAGATGTAATACCTTGTGTCATTGTAAAAGTAAAGTTTGACTTATTAAAATCACCTTGTCAATAATCATTAATATCCGTACTAGAAATGAATATTTACAATCCATTAAAGGCCAATTAAAACAAACCAAAAAAAAACCCACCAGATCTCAAAACCATAATCCTAACCCATGATCAACTGCAGAGTAAAAGTAAAGTGTGAGTCTAAAAGATAATGGAGAGTACAAGTATTTCCAGAAGATTAAGCTTAGGTCCTCTCTGAATAAAGCCTTGTTTATGGACATGGCATGTTTTTCTCTAACATGAAAACAGATCGCAGGGTAGTATTAATGAGGTACTATTTTTATGCCTGAATTATAATGGGCCCCGATAGACAGGTCTGAGGTAACTACAGATATGAAAATCAATTTTAAAGTTACACTACGTATTACATATATTTACTATTAGAATCTTCTTAAAATAAAAAAAGTTAAAACAATCACTTCACATTCTGTAAACATCCATTTTTCTTGTCCAGAAATGTCAACTCTCTTTTAAAGTTCTCTTTTTTTTAACACTTTATTTTTGATGCTGAAGGGGATCAGGACATACCACCCCAAAATATGCCACTTTGGCATATGACAGCTTTTGAGCTGAAGGCATTCGAATTCCTGAAATCCCTTACCTACCCCAAAAGCAGAACCTCCCCAAAGAACACAACAGCCACACATCCACTTCCCAGGCCACTCTCATCTCTTCTGATACCACACCCAGACTTGTCACAAACTATCGTATCTCCCATCTATTTTTCCAAAAGGCCTACTCATTTCCCAAAAAGTCACTTGCTTTTCCATATGTGCCTTTCTCCCTAACCCTTCTTTATTAAGTTGGGTATCTAGACCCTACATTTACTCAGCCTGTCGTTGGGTCCTCCTATTTGAATGCATGATACACATGTTAGTAAACTTCTGTTTGTTTTTCTCTTGTTCATCTGCATTTTGTCAGTCCAGTTTACAGAGCCTCAACTGGAGAACCTAGATGGGTAGACAAAAAACATGTTCCTCCCCTACAATACTTTGATATCTGACTCTACATATATTTCCCAACTTTAAAAAGTTATGATTTTTTTTAAAAAAACCTGTAAAAAACATAAGCTCCTGAAAGAGTCAAAATTTTAAAACCATTTGAGACTCTGGGTCTAGTTTCTTTAAATTTTCAAACTCAATATTAAAAAAATAAAAACTATACCAAAGTGCTTATTATTTTAGGCAAAACTGCTATGAAGACTTAATAATAAAATATTTACAATTGTATATGCAATTACAGAGTAAAATCAGTCTCCACCCATAAAAATTCTTACCAAATGTTTTTCATAAATATATTTTAACTCACTTTACCAATATTATTTCATCTTTTATCATGTTTTCATTATTTATCTTTATTAAAAATAAATCTGAAAGTGTGAAATTGAATGGTGGCAAAATAACTTCAAGTTAAAATTTGCTACTTGGAAAAGTAACATAGAGATCTACACTTTGTAAAGGGGAAGATTGGAAATAATACCTTACTGCTATTAATAATGGCAGTTAAATAATATAAAGGGCAGGTGCTGTAGTTCTAAACACAGTACTACTGGAAATTAATAAAGCATATAACACAGAATTTGATTAAGTTCTATATAATATAACCTGATATAACTATATATACTTTATACAGAAAATCATGTCAGCAAACACTGGGCATATCTATGCAGAAGAGAATTAGCTTTAGAAGGGTCAAGGATGCAGCACTTCTGCCATATAAAAAACACATAAAAGACACAAAACAATATATATGTATACTTTTAGCATGTTAAAAACAATCACATCAAAAAAGTATACAGATAAAAAATGTCCTAGATGAGATAAGAAAATAGTGTGTGTATACATATTTTGCATACATACATATATAAATCTGCAGTATTTCCCACTGTTGATATACAGATTTGGGAGCAGCTCAGATGCTGCCATTATGAACTAAATTGTACAGCTTGATTTATTACAAGTCACAGAATCATTATTTAAAAATTAGAAAGGATATCCTCAGCTACATTTTTACATACATTTATTTCTAAGCTTCACATGATCTGAATCGAGAGCCCAGTGATGCCAGAATTTTGTTTGCACTTCAGTGTAGGCCTTACCTGCTAATATACTACATTTGTTTTGCCATTTAATAACATCATTTCCAAGTTGATTAAAATTACATTAGACTCATTATATACATAAAAATATTGTCACATTCACTAGCGAAACAAATGTTAACTTTCATTTTAAAAGACATACTTCTGTACCTTGAAAGCTTAAAGCCCCAACTTGCAACAAGAGCCCCTCATGTTAGTTTTCTACTCTATTCTTCAAGTGTAAGCAAAGTAATGTCGAAAACAAGCCCTCCAATTAAACACAAAGTCATACTTTCTCAGCATGCTCCAAACTTTGTCAGTGCTGTGGTAACTGTAGTGTAAATAGAATATTTTAAAAGACACTGCTGATTTCTTTCTAACATGAACCTAAATTTTTTTCACTGAACAAGAAAAAAAAGATTTTTTGAAATTATGAAATTCACACTATCTAAAAAAAGATCAAAATTTTAGATTCTTATTAATAATTCAGATCATTTTTTGTAATTTTATACACCAATAATTTAATGGCCCAAGTGCAGCAATATCCACTGACTACATTCTTCAAAGAAAAGAGTGCCAGGAAAAATATCATGTAAATGACCACCCATCACTTTGTAGTGAAGCCCTGCAGGAATCTGAGGGGCAGAAGTAACCAAATTGTTAATCCTGGTTTCCGGGGAATTTGCAAATAGTTTGTTCTGTTGCCCAACAGTAACTTGCAACCTCTCCTGCTGGCATCCACAGGAGAGCTGTAGCCAGGACCACGGCACCTCCTTTGCATCAGGCAAGGAACCTTCTGCTCTGAGCTTTGCAGGAGTCAGACCAGAACAAAGGGCGCAGAGGCACTAATGCCGATCTCGATCTCGGTACAATCTGGGCACTGCTGCACCTTTGGCCATAAACTTACTTTGACTGCCACAATTTTTAAGCACCATTAAGGGGTTAGCCTTTCTCTTCAACATCTTTAATTTTCAGAGTAAAAGAAAATGTTAGCAATTGAATGAGAAATATGAGCATTCTGTGAGATTTGAATTAATCAACTCGGGGTAAACTCTTAAGTCATTTAAGATCTGGGTTAAAAAATATAAGAGGGGAAAACCTGACCAAAAGACCAGTTAAAGAAAAGAAGAACAATAAATTATTCCATGGATCTGGATTAAAAACATTGTTTTAAAACGTTTCATAAGTTCTGTGTTCAAATGTGTATGCATAGATGCCTATATCTATTAAAAGACACATACACTACATATAGCCTTAAAAATCTACTCTACACGTAGACTCTACACGTCTACAGTTTTTCAGTGCTTTGTAACATTATTCAAAATAGAATGGGCTAATAGAGTAAAAGGGTTCAGGTTTTGGAGAAAGCTACAAATGAAACTGAGTAGTGAATAATTACTTTGCGTGCATCCCTATATGCTATTGCTATGTTTCCATGATGAATCAACAGGTTCAGTGATGATGCCATTTAAAATGCTCATCTTAAGCAGCATCTACAGGGGGATGAAAATACTTCCATCTATTCTTATTACTAACATACATATCAATTGTGCGAGTTGTTTACAATGGTATAAAATACTGCTTTGGCAATTATAAACATAGCAATGTAGGTTCTGTATGGTTCCTATTTTCTTGTCTTAAGTAAGTATAGATGAATTCTCACAGCAATACTGACTCTTGAATAGAAAGTCCATCCCGGTTTCTGTAGTGATACACTGGAGCTGCGGGCCCTGCATATGGATACCCAGGTGAACTGGCATCTTCTAAAGCTGGGGATGTTCTATACCGCAATGGACTATCCATGGATACTGTGGGGAGGTTATGGTCCTGAAAGGGTACATGTTGAAAGGCAGAATATTTTGTTAAATTGCTTAAGTGGCTACGGTTAGCATCTTGAGTCCATGGCTGTTCAGGCATCTCAGGTCTGTATGTGTAGCTGACTTCTGACCATTTTCTGTTATCTGGCAAATAATCCACTGGAGGAATGATGAATTTTCCATTCTTTGGGGACCCTGAATGGCCCGAATACCCCCCAGCACCAATATCAATGGGAAGAACCTCTATTCGATTAGATGGTAGGACAAGAGGAGTTGGGCGGCTATGCAGTTTCTCTGGAGAAACACTGATGGAAAGAGTGGAACCATGAGGTCTCCTGGAAGGATTCATTTGCCCGCCATGGCTAAACTGTGCAGACACAAAGCTGCTGTTAGCAGTAGGGACATGTTTTGGAGAATTTCCATGGTAAACAGGAGGACTGCTGTAAGATGGGGGGTGCACTGTCCCGTGATCTTCCCCATCTAACTGAGTTGGATATTTTGCATAACTTGGAGGCTGTACTTTAAAAGTAAACTTGTTTGATACTTTTGATGGACTAGAACTAGGCTCAGCGTGCTTTCTTGGACTGTGAGCGTAAACAATATTCCTTGGATTTTGAGAGTAAGCCCTTTCGAGTGCCTCTTCAACAGATGTGCCATTTTCATTTTCAGATACATTATCATACTGTGATGCGTTTGAGCCCCGTTTCCCTTCCTCAGCATCCCAGACCTTCATCTTTGGCCTCGAGTTTGACATGCGAGGGTCAGCGGAACACGGGATGGTGACTGTAAGCGCGGGGTGCGCTGATCGACTTTTGCCTTCAGGGGCATATTTGGCCATTTTTTCAATAGCAGAAACATCTGATGGTTTATTCCATTTGGGCATAAATTCCTTCCTGATATTTGAAGTAGCATTGCTGTTTTGATTAGCAGCTGCATGATCATATTGCCTGGTATTGTCTTGTGGACCTGATGCAAGTTTTCTTTGAAAATCTGCTTCATCTTTAAGCTTTTTACTATCCTCATCCACTGATTTCCGTCTTAGTTGTCTCACTCTCTCTGGTGTGCCAACTCTACTTTGATGGTGAGGGGAATGCTCTGATTTCTTGTGAGGTGAGGAGTCATTCTCTTTTCTGATGTTCTTATGGGGACTTGACTTGCCAAAGCTTTGTCCATTGCTCAGGTGACTAATGCCAGCAAACTGAGATTCAGGTGGAAGCTGTCCCAAAGGTTTCTTCGGAAATTCATCCTCTTTGCCTAAAGGGAAAGAAATTCATAAGTAACATAAATACATGAGTGAATAGTAACAAACATAAGAGCTGCACTATGAATAACTGTATACTGTTTCTATGAGCTCTCATATACATACACACAGAATTATAGTGGCTTAAGAGAAGCATTTAGAGAGACTAATAGAAAACATACCAAAATTCAAAATCTTATTAGGCAATGTGCAGATGGGGATGTTTTATAACCTTATGAGTAAAGTTCATACATTTGTGTAACATACGGTTCTTACAGTTTGTGAAGACATACCATTACATGCTTTTTCACAAATGCAAGGCTGATAGTATCGTTTCTAGTCCTAAAACAATCCTGCAGGTCACTTATTCAATGTCTTGCCATTACTTTCACTTTAGCTTACCTTGACTAAAATGGTTATGAAATCTCAGTAAAACATTTATCAACTTCAAGCAGATCTGCCAAATTTAAAAGTCAACTGATGACCAACTGTGATCTAAAGTTGTCCCCAAATAGCTAATTACTATTATTATTACTATTATCATCATCTTAAGTACCTTCCACAGTGTAACTTCATCATAAAAAGAAATAGTACTCTCTATTTTAAAAATAATATTCTAAGAGGATTCTACTTTAAAGAAAAAGAAAGAGAAAATCATATTGGCTACTTTTAGTTTTATATTTTAAATAACACCATAAATAAATGAGGAATTAAAGAAAGGTGCAATAAGTTTGCTATTTAGCAATGTTTAAAGATGATCTATTACAAGATGAATATCCAATAAATATTGTCTTGAATGAAAAACAACATATTTCACTTATAAAAACTCCATGGTTTAAGACATATTTTTAGTCATTACAAAATAATATATTCTCACTTAAAAACAGTTGCTGCTCACTTCAAACAGCCACCCGTCTATTGTCCATCAAACAAATACTGAGTGAGCACTGCCTCAGGACTGTGCTAAGGAGTATATCAGTAGTGACTAGGCAGACCTGGTGTTTGTTTTCATTTAGCTCACTTCTTGGTGAGCACAAGACTGTTGTTTACATACATATCATAATTTTCTTTAAGACATTTCAAAAGATATTCAATGAGCTTTTCTTTGAGAGGGGAAGAAGAGAATGATGAAGAAACAATATCCTTTAAATAGTTACCTATCAGAATCAATGAAGCTAAAAATAACTTTGTGCTCTTCTAATTCAGTGGTTTTTAGACTTTTTAGAAGCAGACTTTTTTTCAGACCAAATTTCATATGAAACCCCAGTATACAAAGAAAATATAAACAAAGCTGCTCTAATTAAAGTGGAAGTGCTTAGGATGTCTCCCACCACCCCCTTTTCCACTCCCCTCAGCTGGGCTGCTTTTCAGATCCCAAGGGTTTCAGAGGGATCCAGTCCGGCCGAATTTTATAGACAGGAAAGCAGAGTCTCAGAGAAGCCAAGTCACTTTTAGTGTCACAATCAGGTTGAGAACCAGGACCCAGTATTTTCTTCCACTGTGCCATGCTCACTAAACTCTAAAGAAACTTCTGATGGTTTTAACCAAATTTAACTTTACCTTGACAATATTTGTGTAAGCTCTTTATTTTATACATTTGAAAGCACACAAAGCATTAGAATTGGTAATCAGTTGTTTCATTCATTCACCCATTCAACAAGGACATACCTATAGAGCAACCACTCTTTACTGAACACTGCCCTGGCTGCTGGCCATCCAGGGACAGAACGGGGGAATCCCTGCCTTGCGGAGCTTACAGGCTAGTGGGGCGGAGCTATGAGGACAGCACCAGGGCGAGGCAAGTATAATGACAGGGTGGGGCGGGATAGGGCAGGGACAAATTCCAACAGAACAAAGGTGCCCTGTTGCTGGCGTGGGAGACAGGAGGGGAATGACTCGGGGCAGGGTCAGAGGAATAGAAGTCACACCACACAGGGCCTTAGAGCTCTGGGCTTTTTTTTTCTGTATTAACTATAAACTACTGAAGGCTTTTCAGCAGGAGAGTCACAAAATCTGATGTGTATCTTATCAAGTTTACTTTGAGTGGTGGGGTGGACTTAGATTGTGCAATAATTAATGAAGGTAATAACAGTACTAGCTAATACTCACTAAGCCCTTATGTGTCAGCACTGCTCATAAAGCTATAAATACAGCATCAGCAACAGGCGTATGACATAGCCTACTACTATTACTATTGTATAGATGAGAAAACTGAGATAGAAGTGAACTTGCCCAAGGGCACACAGCTAGTCAGTGACAGATCGAGAATCCAAGCCTAGCTGATTCCAGAGTCTTTGCTCTTTACTCCTACACTACGGTGTGGTGGAAGCAGTGAGAAGAGGTTGCTTCTAGGATGTGTTTTAAAGCAGAGCACAGCACTTGCGCCTGCGTCAGGTGTGCGTGACGAGCAGAGTAAAGCATAGCTTCTGGTTTACAGACAGCAACAGACAGGGGCCACTCAGTAACGTTCTGTCTCTTTTCATAATAATGACATGTTATGTTATGTGAACAAACTGCTTCAAGTGATAGCCCCAACTTTAAAATGCTCGTCGTTGAAAAAAGTTTCTTTGTTTATGAATGCTGTATGTAAGCTAATCCGAAGCATTCCAGTTCAGCTGTGACTAGTCTCACAGGAAATACCTGGAATCAGGGTAAGAAAATTGACTCAAAGGCAGTCCACGTCAAGAACTTTCATAAGTACGTAGTTATTTAGCTTATCTGGCTAAAAACTAACAATAAAAATTAAAATCCATCTAGTGTCCCCAAAAAGTTTTATCAGCTCTGCTCTTCACCGATCTGGGTGCTGCTGGCCAATAGTGATCCATTTAGTCCAGATAAATATCTGCGTCCCTTCCTCCCTACAGGCAACCTACCCCAACAAACATAAATTATCAAGAAGACAGAAAGACCTATGTAACAGAAAAACTGAATTTACAAATTTTCTTTCGGTCCTACTTGAACAGTTTTCTAAGGGTACACAACTCAGTTATTTGAATGGCTAATTCGATGGCTGGCTGATACTCCATCAGATGATAGTATCAGCCAATTGTCAAAACATCTTTTTCGGGTTGGTGAGTAGGAACCTGATGAAAAACATAACCATTAAAGAGAAAAGGAAAACAGTGGCACCCAGAGAGTGGTTAATTCAAGCCTGCAAGATGTGCTGTTAAGGGACAAAATTGGATTAGTTGTAGAGATTTTCATGCTGAGCCCTTTAAGCTGCCCCACTTCCCCAGCACTCAGTGGCTTTTAGCAGCCTGCAGAGAGAGCCTGGTTCATAGGAAATCATTTTAAATATTTTAAAAATTCTCCATAGCAGTATTATTATTATTTTTAAAAAGGAACATCTGTTAAAACTTGCACATGCACTCCCCACAATGTCAATCTGTCCTGAAAGCTTCAAATGTTTCTCTGAGCTCAGGCTGGGTACTCAGAGCCTGTTTGCAGTTTCCATCTATCAACTCACAACTCATAAAACCAAGTCCACCTGAAATTAGATTTTTCAAAGGTTAGTTACCTACTGTACATTGAACATCTGTGATCTACCCCCTCCCAAATTCAAGGTTGAAAATCCCGAAATGTAACCCCAATGTAATGGTATTTGGGGGTGAGGTTTGGAAGGTAATTAGGTCACAAGGTAGAGACCTCATGATGGAATGTGCATGCCACCACCCACTCCGAAGTGCAGTAATGGATGGGGCCACAAAGAGAGGTGCGATCCGCCCAGTTTTCACCTCCCCCTCTGCAAAGGAAAAACGCAGCCAGGTTGCACCACAAGACCGCACCCATTGGGTTCCTCTGAGTTGTGGTCAGTAGTGGGGTGAGGAGAGGCCCCTTGGCAGAGCAGGAAGGAGCACCCAGGGGAGAAGACTCGGTCAGACAAGGAACTCAGGACCAGTGGGGACAGCCCATCTCTTTCTGCCCTCACACTTTTCCAAACACTCCAGGAGAGGTGATGCCTAAGAGGGAAGGAAGACTGTCCTTGACTAGCTGTGTGAAGTACTGGACAGTGCCTGGCACATGGTGGCCCCCAGTAAAGAGCTGCATGGTCTGGGTCCTGGGAGGTGGACCAGGCACTGCAGCTGGGGATAATTCACCAGAGAACAAATTTGTGTTTGTCCTCTTCTTCAGCGAGGTCTGTGCCTAAAATCCACCTCATTGTTGTGGGCTGAATTCTGTCCCCTCAGAATTCAGAATTCATATTAGAGTTGAAGCTCGAATCCCTGGTTACTTGGAATATGACTGTGTTTGGAAGTAAGGTTTTTTAGTGAGATAAGTAAGGTGAAATGAGGTCCCTGGAGTGGGCCGCTAATCCAATGTGACTGATGTCCTTGTAAGAAAAGGTCATCAGGACACAGAAAGGTCAGAGGAACAACCATGTGAAGACAGCCATCTTAAGCCAAGGAGAGAAGAATCCAACCCTTCCAACCCTTTGATCTTGGATTTCCAAGCTTCCAGCATTGGGAAAAAATAAATTTCCATCGTTTGCGCTACCCATTCCAGTCTGTGGCACTTTTGTTATAACAGCCTGTGCTCGGACACTACCCTTAAGTCTGTATCCTGGATCTGAAAACTGATTTGCATTACTAAGCACACATTTTAAGGATTGCTTTTTTCACTAAAATAATGAAATATTTATTACCTGCTTTTATGGTCCGAGCATATTTTCAGTGTTTACCAGCTATATTAAGTAAAATTTATTTTACACAGCCACATCAAAAAGGCCACCAAGCAAAACAAATAGGGAGGGTGGACGCCAGCAGCACCGGACCCACAGGTGTATCTAGGATCCACTGCTTCGCAAGCTCTTATATGCCACTTCCAATGTCTTGTAGTCACCGACTTATGCCAGGAACAGCAAGTTTGGGGCTGGCTTCCAAAAGCATTTTCCACAGGCATTCAGCTACAGCTGCTTACTGACACTGATGAAGATGATAGGGCATCCTGACAATGTGTTACCCAGAATTTAAGCAATGTTCTAGGTTTGGACTAACTGAAGAAGAGTTGAATAGGG